AGATCGATCAGGTCCAATTATACAGATCAGGTCAGGTTAATGAAGACTAGGATAACATGCAGGAGGTTCGTGCCAGGATTGAACAAGCTAAAATATCATTTGTAAAAATGAAACCTGTGTTGTGTAGTCGAGGTATCTCGCTGTCTGTTTGTACTCGAGTACTACGTTGCTACTTCTTCAGTATTCTAGCATTCTCTATATGGGATTAACGCGTGGACTCTGACAGATGCCGTGTGTAAAAAGCTAAAGGCTTTTGAAATGTGGACATATAGACGGATGTTAAAAATATCTTGGGCGGACAGAGTGCGTAATGAAGATGTGCTAACAAGAATGTCAAAAGATCTTGAAATTATGTTTACGCTTAAAAAACGAAAGTTAGAGTATTTCGGACACATACACAGGAATGAAAAATACCTACTTCGCAAGCTCATAATCGAGGGGAAAATTGAAGGCAGAAGAGGCCCTGGACGTCGAAGAATATCTGGGCTAAAGAATTTGCGTCATTGGTATGGCGAAAGCACGACAAGTGCGTTTGTAGAAAAAATTGTGTATGATATTCGTGCTAAAAGTGATTTTATTTTATTCAAAGGGATAGAACACTCCGCCTTCGGCGTCGTGTCCCAAACTTCCCTTTTCACAAAATAAAATGTCACTTTTAGCACTTATATCATAAATAACTATTTTATTTTATTGCGACACATTATATCTAATATTTTATGTGTTAAAATAAATCAATACTTGAAGTTACTAAGGATTCCACAAAAGGTATCAACATTCATCCCGATTATGAAAAGACATTTTTATTTAAGTGGCGTACAAAGTACGCCAAGCAACCCGTTATGTGAAATAAAATCTAGCGACCAGTTAAGGGCTATCCAAAATGCTAGTGATGGGAGAAGTATTCAATAAACCAAATTGACGGTCTAGAAATGGCATGAATATAAACGACTAAATCATCTACGGTTCGCCAAAGACGTATACTCATTCTCAATAGTTCTGGAAAGCTATAGTCACAGTTCGCTAGCACATCGGAAGAAATCGACCTGGAAGATCACAATTTGCACTCAGACCTAATACAATGAAGACCATAATATGCTGGGAACAGATCGTGATGAGATGGTTCGACGACCTGATACTATTCGCAAGACCACAATGGTGACCAGTCGCTCCAAATAAAGTGCGCTGGCGAAAAGGTGAATAATAGTTAGCCGAAGAAAAAGAAAAGGAGAGCATGATTCCAGAAGTTTGTATCAACTAAAATATGCTGTGAAAAGTAATATTCTACTGATTCTAACGCCTTGGTGAAATCGTGTTTTATACTCTCTCATTTTGGATGACAGTTATCAAATAAAAACTTCAAGGGGCATAGGTTTTAAGTCATATAAAGGGTACATAGTGATTTTTGTATGCTTAGTGACAGAAGCTGTTCAATTGAGTGGTCAGCAACATGTCTTCTGATATGTTTTTAGCTGCTTTTAGATGATTTATAGCTGTAGCTAGTAAAAGAGGAACCTGCTCATATCTTTATAGCGACAATGGAACAGATTTTGTTGGTGCGAGCCAGATACTCAAAAGCGAGATACAAGAAACCATCCAAAAATCCAATATCCAGGATACACTCTGATATCTGCTGCAATTGCATTTTATTCCGCCATCAGTCCCGCACTTTGGAGGCTTATGGGAAGCTGGAGTAAAATCCATGGAAAGGCATCTAAAAAGAATTATTGAAGAAACAAAGACTCACCTAACGCACCAGATTGAAGCCTGTCTCAACTCCAGACCACTATGTCCATTATCCAATAATCCAGAAGACCTAGCAATACTTACTCCGACACATTTTTTGATTGGAAGAAAAGTCATCTCACCTCCAGACCCAGTCATGACGAACATCAACCCAAACTTCAATGAAAGATGGAAATTGGTGCAAAAAATCAAACGCGACTTCTGAAAAAGCTGGTCAAACAAGTATCTACAGCACTAAAAATGGGAGAATTAGTTCTCAACAAGGAAGATATCAATCCTAGTAGATGGCCTCTTGCTAAAATTGCCGAAGTGTTTCCTGCAAAAGATAAGTTCGTTCGAGTAGTCACTGTGATGAAAGCAGATGGGTATACTATTAAAAGGCCCATACATAAATTAATTCCAATTTCCATAATACAGTCAAGTCAAGAGACTGCCATAATAGCCATTCTGTTTATGAACACTTTAAACAGTGCTATTGTGCAAAATCACACAATTCACTATCCAGAACCCGGCATATTCATCGAACACATTGGAGACGCTAAGATTGACAGAGGAAATTCCAGAATCGAAATCAAATTTGAAAAGTCAAAAATATCTAACGACACTTCCAACGTAGCCCTAGCAAATAAACAAGTGGCTGACCTTTGTCGAGATGCGAAAAAATCAGCAACATCAAGCCAATGTACATCGCTAATTCATCATTTACGGGAAAAGGAAAACCAGCTTTTCTAGATGAAAAAACGAATGGAAGCGGTGGTCACCAAGCGAGAGAAGCGAGGACTTTTGGGCAAGTTTCTCACTTCAATATTTGGAGTCAATGACGAGTTTAGACGAGCTTGACAAAAATCAAAGGGAGCTAATCAAAGCCTCAAATCACCAAACTAAGGTTATGTTGTTTATGTTGCATGCTCTAGCAACATTCAACGAAACGGAGACTGGAATAAACAATAACTTAAAAAGGTTTCAACAGAAACTGAATAAAGGCATCAAGATCATTACCGGGATGCAAGATTGGCTCCAGAAAGTGGATGATAACAAGCTAGAAATACATATTTTGAGCATATACCAGATTATGTCAAATTATATACAAGACGAACTTCTAGAGTACTATAGAAAATTACTGAATGTACATTATCATCGAGCTAATATCTTCAGCTCATGTCGAAGAAATCATTGCATCAGCATCCCAGAAGCCGCCGTCAAATATTTATATAATTTCCTACCCAATTTTACGAACTGAAGTCCGTCACAGCAATGAATTTGTCCACGTCTATGGATATAAATGATGAGAGAAATCAACGATTTCGTTCTGGTAAAACCAACACCCATTCTAGTCAAGACTGAAAAGAATGCGTACTAGATTCTAGAATTTACAAGCGGACTACTAGCAGCTGCTTATAATTCTCAGTTGTATTTTGACCTGACCGAAGGAGAATTTCGAGATAGCATAAACGTTGTTCAAAATATTTATGTTTGTTCACCTACCACCACTAGAACTATAGACGTCACCCCCAACTGCATAATCAACAAAGTTTATCAAAGAACTGAAAATACATCATGCCAAACTCGACGCTATTCCATCAAGTCAGCCGTATGAAAACAGCTTAATACCCCAAACGCATGGATGGCAATAATGACCCTTAAATTAAAAATCGCGATTATCTGCGATGGTATCAAAGAAGAGGCCACAATAAACCAGACCGCAATTATCGAAATTTTATCAAATTGCGTCATTAAAACAAACAAAAATATTTTGACACCAAGAAGATCAGAATTTGTAACTGTATTAGGAGCTTTCGTCCGCCCAGTAGAACTGAGTTTGGAAACATTTCAACCTACCAAGGAAATCACCATGACTCCCTACGACGAACGAGTTATTGATGCCTCCGATCAACTATCTATCTCATCTTCAGAGTGAAGAACAAGACATCGATCAACAAGAACAAGACGTCAAATGGACTCAAGTACACCATCATCTAATTATTAGTAGCTCCATAGTACTGCTGATACTGGAAGTGACTGCAATTCTTCTGATATGATTGTATTTGTAAAGAAATAAATCCAGTAGGCACGATACCCACACACCAGGACAAACCTTGGCTGACCAAACGTTAACCTTAGAGCCGTTATGTTCAGTACCACCAATTCCACGCAATAAGAAGCCGAGTGGCCAGAATGTCTAATCACACATTAGCCATTTTTTCCCGAACCGAGTGGCCAGAATGTCTAATTATAAATTAGCCATATTTTCTTCCAAATTTAAAACTTATTATCTTTTAATAAATACATTAATTATTTTCTATTTACCAACTAGCCAAGCATTTCCAAAGTCATCGACATTACGAAGAAAGGGTCAGTAAAACATATAAGTTAGCACTTTAGTTATTTTATTAGTTAATTACCTTTGTAAATATTCCGTGTATAAATAGTGTTACCGTTACTTAAATAAATTAGTATTAAACCATTAGTCGTTTGTACTCAATCACACCCACAGTCAACTGCTTACCGCAGAGTCTTAGTACGCACCCTATCAAATATTTGACAACAAAGAAAAATAAGGTGCTCAGGGTGTAATCAGTCATTCTCTGCCGCCTTTCCTAGTTACAAGAATTCTCACATCAAGGGAACGATTGTACAACTAGGAACGGAAAATGTTACATTGCGGAAAAATATTAATGCAAGTATGAGCGGCATAGTATAAATTGTTGGAGAAATTAAATATTAATTAGTACTAAATTGAAACCGAAAATGACGTATGAGTGACCTTTTAAACTCAGCAATATTTAACCCAAAAGCAACTAAATTAGCCTCAGGAAATTTATCTTTGTGTTTATTTAAATTCAGTTTGTCCTAGTTAGTTCAACATAAAAACTTTTTTTTTCAAGAATTAGATTACTCTGCCATTTAAAATCCCACAAAGTGAATTAAAAAACCCCAAAGGTCACTAGAATGTTAATTAAATTCATACATAGTGGTAGTCGGGCCTCCCTAGCAGGCTTAAAGGGGATATGAGTGCAAAGTTTATTAGAGTAAAGCACAGCAAATTTAATTTTCCCTATTTTTCCTTTTTTGATTGGCCCAGCGATAACATTTCAGCGCTTGCTCTTCCAGGGAGCCCGCAATGTTTATTTTGTAATAATAACTTTAGTGTTTGTTTAGTCAACTTTTGATTCATTTAGACAAAACACGTTTCATATATTGAACGCTTCAATATACATTGTTTTAAGTATTTCTGAATTTTATATTTTTGTATATACCTTGTGGAGTTTGCAAATTGAATGGTCCGTTATGGGGTAGAACAGCTATACTTGGAATAGAGGGTCCTTCAAGTGCAAGATTTATTACAGGAATACCATTGGCATTACCTAAAAAAATTGAAATTAAAAAATATATTGGATGTATCAATTTCCATTTGATATATCTGTTGCTTTATGTTTAATCTAGTTATTAACTGTAGCTAATATTAAATCTAAGTTAATCTGAGTTGCAATGTTGTCGAGCAGATATATAAAATCAGGATGCTGCCGCCCTCTTTTGTACAGAAACTCCACTTAAAACTGCAAATCGATATTGCTTGGTTGCAGGAGTAGAGCTTCTTGAAGCTTGGCAAAAAAATGTTTACGGCATCGAAAAGAGGGCGATACATATTAGAAAGCAATAAGTTAGTTGAGGCTACTGGCAATTATTTTGAAGGGAGGCAAAACATGAAATTATCATAGAGTACAGGGATAATAATGAGTGTAAATTGTTTACCACAAACTCTTTTCAGGAATACAATTAACTATTTCACATCGACATAGGAGGAGCCTTTGACGAAACCTCATTTGAATCTATGAACACTGCTTTAACCAGACACACCATCAGTAAACGGATTCATAAAATGCTTTGTGGCAGACAAGTTCAGGATACTCTTAATAATAATACAATAGAGTTGTCAGTATCGAAAGGCTGTCCCCAGGGTCGTAGACGAACTCCTAGTAGAACTTAATAACAGACACATTTATACCCAGGATTACGCAGATGATGTAGTAATTGTAGTCATGGGGAAATATGTAAAAACTACTTCTGCGCAAATGAAAACAGCACTTAAAATCGTAGGGGACTGGGTCAAAAGGGCAAACCTGAGTATCCCTGAGAAAATAGCAATTCACGAAAAGAACCAAACTAGACGATCTAGTCTTCCACTTTTTTCGGAAAACAAATAGAATTCGTCCGGGAAGTCAAATACCTGGGAATTATCCTGGATGTAAAACTAACCTGGAATGCGCATATTCAATACGCCACCAACAAAGGTGAAATGGCACTAATGGCCACCAAAAGAGCAGTATGAAAACATGAGTTTTTTTCACCCCACATAGTATAATAGATCTATACAGTGGTAAGATACGGATCAATAATTTGGTGGCCAAAAGTCGAACTGAGCAAAGCAATGGAGCTACACAAACTTCAAAGATTGGCCTATCTTTGCATAAAGGCTACAAAGACAAGCACTCTAACTGCTGCTATGGATCCCATACTTGACTTCTCGCCACTTGATTTTGTAACGAAGTTACTATATTTTCTGTTACTAGGTTGCCCTTCTATCCTCATACGTTTTCCTTACAAACGAACGGCGTTGAGTTAATTCAGTCTGGCCCGAGTTCACCAACTGAGCAGACGCTCCCGACATCCACCGACTACTGAGGTAGGCCTTTTCTCCGAAACACCGACTGGTACCTGTTCCACAGCAGCGCGAGTAAGTTATTTTGCATTGATGGTTCGTAAATTATATTCTTTTTACTGTCACGGTTCATTTGTACGGACAGAGTTCAAGGTTCCATAACTGTCACGGTTTACGTGTACGGACAGTTTCTTTTATTATATGGTTTATTTTTACTCTCACAGTTCATTTGTACAGACAGTGTTTAAGGTTCTATAACTGTCACGATTTACGTGTACGGACAGTTTTTTTCTGAGATATTTATACTGTCACGGTTCATGTGTACGGACAGTGCATTATTTCCACCGCCGTTACTGATCATTTGTACGAACGGTTGATTCTTGGTTTTACTTACCGACCTAGGTTTACCATATTAACCAACCAATTGAATTCATGTCCGTATTTGAGATGTCACATCAAGTGTGCGACGAGTACATCAGTGTTCGTAACGGGTAAAACCGTTAAGGATCTAACCGCTATTATGATGCATGACCGCTACCAATTTTTTGTTACTCACCGCTTGCCCTAACCGCCTGCTATCATTAAACTACACGCACGCACACATACACATTTTCACACTCTTCATTCAACACCCGCTTCATTTACTCTGCTTGAGGAATGTTTATTTTAATATAGGAATTGCTTTATTTACCGTTATAAATATGTTGCAATAAATACAAGACCTTAGTATCGATTTTATGTGTCTTATTTTGGAGTTTTCTGGAGGATTTACAGGAGGTATAAAAGGAATAACTTCCAGCATCTGATTCGACACCTGATCTCCACTGTAACAAGCTTCCTGGTGCATGTGGGCCCTTAACCACAATAATCCTGAGGGTGGCGCCCGAGATAACCGTAAGCAAGAATAGAGAAAAACCGAAAAGGCGCTACAAAATTGGCGCCCGAGCAGGGACACTCAATTGTAGGAAAAAGAAGTTTCCACCAGAATCAGTCCGTTGACCAGTCCTTTGTAAAACCCAGAGTCAAGATGACAGGAGTCAACAACAACACTGGAGACCCGCCAGTTATGAGTACTCCAAATAACGTTGCATAGATTGTAGTTATAACCAGTCCGGCTAACCCAGTTGTTACTATCCCCACGATAACTCACCCCGGTTGGTATGACTCCAACGATGTCCTTGTTGGCGGAGTATATCAACTAAAGAAGGACGATTCACTTGTGGAGCTGAATAAATTCGGCCTAGAATTTACTGATACCGTTGACATTTTACAAAAGAGGCTAGTTACCTTTATTCGTCTAGGAAAAGCTACACCAGCACTGACAACAATAACCGGTTTCACATTTGCAACGTCTCCCAACATTGCTGCTTCGACGGCCAGTACTACAGCTCAACTGAAAACAACCAGTCCATCTAGGACAACTCAGACAATTCTCATATCGGTAGCAACTATTACTATCCAACCCCCGATTTCTGCTGTTACCAATGGTAATACCAAAGAAGGTTCATGAGTGGAATATCTATTTTGATGGACGGACCGACCTTGTGACGTATTTGGAGAGACTGCAAGAAATCTGTACATTCCAGGGGATTATAATAGAACAACTTTCACCGCATATGCCCGAATTGTTTCAGGGAGAAGCTTCTCTTTGGTATCGCAACAACTGCAATCATTGGAATATTTGGAGCAAATTTCTGCAGGATTTTCGAAGTTTCTATTTTCCAATTAATTATGCTGCCGACCTGGAGATTGAAATCAGCCGCAGCCGCCGTTTGCAACAACCTACCGAACCAACACACCGGTATATCACCGACTTACAAACTCTTATCCGGAGGCATGGCAACATTACCCCAGACTAAGAGCTACAGTGGCTCTATAGGAAATCGACAACATATTCGGAAAAGCGACGTTATCGATGTGGTTTCACTTTCCCGCACGATAAGGGAAGTTGAAACCTTATTAGCATAATTGAAGACAGCAATATCGTCAACATCTACGAGTCTGCACCGTCCACCGGCCGGCATTTCGGTGACTCAAACCTGACCAAGTCTGCCTCCACCAGTTTACAAAACCAATGAACAAAAAGACCTATGAGGACGGAGGCAAGACAACCGAACTATAGAACCAAAAACCGGTCCGACGCCATGATTTGCTGGAGATGTGGAAAATTGGGACACAGCCGAACAGAATGCCGAGATACAGACAAATTATTCTGCTCTCGTTGTGGGAAAACTGGCATAATGTCACGGGACTGTAACTGTAACAGTAACGGGAAACTAACTCAGTGCTGTCCTAGTCCGAGGTCAGCCCAGCACCTTACACGGAAAACCTCGAGCAACCCAGACCTTTCGCAAAAACGAAACTGGATTCGTCTACCAAATTCTAGACCGCATATGTCTGTTTTCATCAAGGAGGCCCCGTTCTTAGCCTTGGTCGTTTCCGGAGCCGCTAACTCATACGTGGAAGTCCTCGCTGCAAACATATAGGTACCCTCTTGACTACTACCCCAAAGTACAACCCACGGTTAGAAGCGCCAAAGTGGCCCACGGTGGTGCAATCGACATCTCCGAAGCTTACCAGATACCATTACAGCTTGGAGATCCTCCTTTAACCTAGACTATAAACTACTTTCCAAACTTGCCATCCGATATTGTGCTGAGAATGGATATCTTGAACCGGCACCAGTTTCATCTGGACCTGGGCAGTGGAAACGTTTATATACAAAATCGTCTTTTGCCTCCTCCAAACTTATGTAGTCCTATCGGTCCGATAGATAGCCCCCCGAACCTCACATCCACTGAAGAAATGCTTTTGAAGAACTTCCTGGACCGAGAGTTGCCGAAATTTGACCACATTAATGGCACCACCCTTTGGTGGAACACTTTGTACATTTGATCAATCCGGAACCGATCAAACAACGATATCGTCCTCAAAATCCACGAATGCAGCAAATTATAAACACCGAAGTTAATAAAATGCTAGAAGACGGAATGATCGAACCATCAAACAGCCCTTGGAGTTCTCCTGTAGTCATTGTGAAAAAGAAGGATGGAAAGTGCCATTTTTGCATTGACTTTCAAAAGATAAATGCGGTACTCGGAATGACGGTTATCCGTTTCCTTTTATCAACTCCATCCTGGATAAACTAAGAAGAGCCCATTACATTTCCAGCATCGATTTAAAACAAGGCTATTGGCAAATACCTCTGTCAGAAGAAAGTAAACCAATTACTGCATTAACAGTACGAGGAATGAACTTTTTCCAATTATGGGTTATGCCATTTGGATTGCACTCTGCACCGGCCACCTTCCAGAGGCAAATGGACCGAATCATAGGACCAGAACTAGATAACTACTGTTTCGCATATCTGGACGATATAGTCATTCCTGGCGAGACTTTTGACGAACACCTACAAAACTAAGAAGAAGTTTTTCGTCGACTATTAACTTACAGCTTAACCCCGAGAAATGTGAATTCAGAAAACGATCCCTGCGTTACCTAGGACATCTTGTAACATCAGATGGCATTCGTACCGACCCAGATAAAGTGGCAGCAATTCGCGCGCTTCCTGTCCCTAGCATTCTCCGGAGCTTGAGACGTTTTCTGGAAGTAGCAGTAGCATCCTGGTACCGACGATTCGTACAAAATTTTTCACAAATCGCTAGCCCTCTCAACCGACTACTCAAAAAAGGAATCGGCTGGACTTGGACCGAAGTTGAACAAACGGCATTTAACACCCTTAAGAAAAGTTTCACGGAAGCCCCGATGCTGGCCTGTCCGGATTTTTCCAGACACTCTGTGTTGCAAAAATAGGAAAAAACCGAAAGGGGGCTACAATGTAATTTTCAAAGCTAAGGGAAGAATGGGGGCTTATAGACTCAATTAAAGCCAGAACTGAAAACCGAGACGAACATCCGGGCCTACCAGGATAACAAACATTGTTACGAACTCACTGTTTGAGATGAGAAGTGACTCATTCTTCAACTAATTTGGATAATTAGACTACTTTTTATGCCCCTTTATAAATTCCATAATTTCTCATATTATGATTCTCCAATTAATCTTATCATACATCAAGGTACAAAACGGATATGTTGTAAATATTTTTGCCTCCCCTGCATAAATTCTACCTATCTTTGATGTTCCAAACGCATCTTTTATTATAGCAGGATGATGATGTTTGATAGCATTCACTCTCCTATTACCAATAGGTTCAGGCTTCTTTCTTCTTGGTTGTTCCACTGGCAGCACTCTTCGTCTTCTTTTTGGCAATTTCGCTCTGGCCTAAAAATGAAATGAAAGTATTATTTTTACACCTGGAGCACTTTTAGCTTTAGAAGTTATTTCAAGGAGAATAGCCAATCGATAATTTTAGTCTGAATAAACTTGATATGTTTTAAATATTCATATTCTTTATATAGATCTATAATCAAAAGTTTCCTAGAGCGATTTCAAAAATAACATTCGACCAATTTTTATTATTTTTCTTTTAAACTGGATTTAATATTGAAAATTTTTCAATTTACCTTCCTCTGAATAAACTTGATATTTTTGTTGACAAAAGCACCGAAAGCTAAACTATATATTTTTCATTATGGAAATCCATTTTGAGCTCCCTTTGGAGTCAAGCAAACATTTCAAACTAATTAATATAGAGTTGACCAGAAACTCCCAAAAATCACGTGTATTAACCAATTTTTTATAATTTTATCAAAATCCTCCCAACTTAATTACACATTTTATCTTGAATGTATTGAATTGAAATCTATAGAGTGAGATATCTATTAAACTTTATTTGGAGTATTTTATTTTTTCATATACTTACAGGAATTTCTTATCGTTTGTAGAATATTGGAAGTTTTAAATAGAATATATAGGCCTTGCAGTCTCAGAAATCTAGTGAGCAGGTAAATTAACCGTATTTTAGATCAGAAAATAATGATTCCCGCAAATGGGTAAGTCATGTTGAACATATTAAAAATGAAATTGGATTATCGGATGTACAAATTTTGACACAAATTGGTCGCTTTTTGTTACATGATTCTAAAAGATGGTTTAAACGATGGGATCCAGATAGCACAGATTGGGATACATTTCGAAAAGAGTTTGCGGAAGTTTTTCCTTAAAAAAAAAAAAAACAGGTCGATTGTTAGAAGACACAGTTAAGCTCGCTAGTTCGAATGTTTACACTTATGAAACTTATGTTCATGAGGAAACTAACATGTTAAAAACTGTACGTGCGAATTGGTCCGAGAATTAGTTATTTACGGCATTTCTGAGTTAGAGATACAAAATGCAGCCACGAACAGCAACTGTCAAACCATTTCTGAGTTACTCGTATTTTTATCGTCGTTTTCTTTACCTTCAAGTAGTAATAATTATGGACAACAAAAATCAACTCTGGAAAAACGTAATTTATTAAAAAGGAAATTTCCCACGACTGACTAACATAGCACTTAATCTGGAAAGATGAGCAATGTTATCAGTGTGGCAAAACAGGGCATATTAAAGCTAATTGTCGAAGCAAGAGGACCAAAACATCGGCTGAAAATAACAGTACACCTTCTACTTCTGGTCATGTTTCACCTTCAACCTTGCAAAGCAATGACGAAGTTGGTGGTTTTTGTACGAAACATGATGTTCGAAACATGATGACCCCATGTTCCGAATTGCTTCCTGAAAACTGCAATAGATAAACGCCACAGTAATAATTTTTACTTCATTGGCAAATCAATTAGTGCTACTGAAATATTTGTGAATGGTCATCGATTTTGTGCTCTCGTTGACACAGGTGCAGATTTGTCTTTATTGTCAAAGAAATTTCTTTATTTGTTTTGAGAAAAGGTAATCTCTTGTAACATGGTTCTTAAAGGAATTGCAATAATGTCACTATTACTGCCACAAAGAAGTTCACAGATTTCACAAAAGTCTCTGGAATCGAAATTCCCATAACATACTTCTTTGTTTTTGACATATATGTTTGGATTATTTTTTTGAGTGGACGCGATATCCTCGAGGATCAAAGCTGGGTTACTATCACTGATCATCAAGGTTCTCGAATAGAACGTCGACAACTACCAGGAATAGATAGGATTTTGGACACTTTCGCTTCTGGAAAATTTGATGTTATTGTTCCTTCAGAATTCCAGAGTAAACTTAAGGAAGTACTGGACGACTTCGGTGATATGCTTACAAGTGGAACCAGAGTAGGTGCAGTTAACAATGTCACTTTGAAGATCCGGTTGGAAAAAGATGTTGTGAATAATTGTCCCCCATATCGATTGTCAGCCAGTGAAAAAGAAATTGTTCATGGAATAATTGATGATTTGTTGGAAAATCACATTGTATTTCTCTATTTTCCAGTCCCAAACTATTGGTGAGAAAGAAAAATGGCGCATACCGTATGTGTGTAGACTGCCGAGAACTCAATCGAATGACTATTAAAGATAGATATCCTTTGCCACTTATCGGGGACCAATTGGACAGAGTCGGTATTTCACGTCGTTAGATGTGGCTTCGGGGTTCCATTAGATACTGATCTATGAAGAATCGATCCAGAAAACAGCTTTCATCACTCCCGAAGGGCATTTCGGATATTTAAGGATGCCTTCTGGCCTTACTAATGCGCCTGCAGTATTCCAGAGAGCAGTTAACGTTGCTTTCGGAAAATTAAAAGATTTTGTCGCTTTTGTCTACATGGATGACATTTTAATACCTAGTCATACACCAGAGGAGGGCCTAGCCCATTTACGTCTTATTCTGGAGGCACTTAGTAATGCTGGGTTCTCATTGAATTTTCAGAAATGTCGATTTTTTCAGCCTACATTGGAATATCTTGGTAGGGAAATTTCAGGTGATGGCATCAGACCAGGAAAATCAAAGATACAAGCACTGCTGGAGTCTCCGGTACCAGAAAACTTCAAACAGGTTTGTCAGTTCATGGGCCTTACAGGCTATTTCAGGAAGTTTGTGCCTCATGCAGCATGGATAACGAAGCTGACTAAAAAGAACGTGTCATTCTAGTGGAACGAAAAACAGGAGATTGCACGGCGGTTTGTCATTAAGCAACCAGGAGTTGCCTACGGAATTGCACATGTGTGTGCAAGCAGTTTGGGTTATGGCGCAATTCTTATCCAGAAACTTGAAGGTCAGCACAGGGTGGTATCTTATTTCAGTAAAAGGACTACAGAGTGTGAATCCAAATACCATGCTTACGAATTGGAAACCTTAACGATAGTTCAAGCTGTCAAACGTTTTCACAATCACTTGCTTGTTGTGAAATTTCTGATAATTACCGACTGTAATTCCATCGGCAATGACCAAAAAAGATTTATTGCCCCGAATCGCCCGATGGTGGGTATATTTCCAGGATTTCGATTTAGAAATATTCTACCGTAAAGGAAGCAGTTTACCCCATGTTGATTACCTTAGTAGAAATCGCATTGTCCGGAGAGTCACGAATAACGATTGGGCCTATATGGAACAATAAGTTAGAGAAGAAATACAAAACCTAATACAACAGCTCAGAAATGGCGGTCTCGACTCAAATCAATACGTTGAAAAGGAGGGCATGCTGTTTCATAAGCATTCTTACCCGGACGGAACAACAATCATAGGTTTAAAAAACCATAGCAATATTTGATTGTTTTTTTTTAAGACCCGATATCATTGTGTAGTTAGTGTGCAGCGAGAATATCCATGCATGTTTATCATCGACAAAATATAAATGCAAGTCTGAGTTTGTTGCTTTTGCTACAACGGAAACGCTTATCAGTTATCGGTAAAAATAATCGTGAAACATGATACCCCTGTTTATAACGTTCCCACATTAAACGTCGGCGGTGTGATGATTCAGGAATTTTCCTACGGCATCCTGTAATAGGACACATCAAACTTCACACTATGTACGCTAGATGGCGCCACTGATAACGTCATGACGTCGCGACGCCATCAAATAGATGGCGCACCTGACAGATGGCAGTATCAATGGGGCCCTCTGAAATGGGGCCCTAGCAGCGGGGGCACGAGCTCACGTGGATTAGGTCCCTCCACCCGTCGGTATTACGACACCGACGACCACTACAGCGTAATACGAACTTCACACTATGTACGTTAGATGGCGCCACCGATCACGTCATGACGTCGCGACGAGTGTTTCGTCTTTCTCAATGATATGCAAATGTTAATATAAGTAAAAAAGACGGAACATTCGTTCTCCTAGGAACGCTGCTCCCCTGTTTCAAGAATAAGGACCCAGGCGTCGGAGGTCGGAGGGCGTAGAACCGGCTATGTATATCTATTGAGGATCATCAGAAGGCTCCTTAGGATTGAAACACAGATTAAGTCAGAATGATCGAACAAGCCATGGAAAATACGGCTGATCCAAATTCTACAACGCAAAAATACGACTCCATTGTCACTTTTGTTGGGAATTCAATGTTCAACACCTTTGATTCAAGCTTCATTGAAAAAATTTTCGAAAGACTTGACACCACTTCGCAATCGTAGTTTGTACAGACACCGTGTAGCTGAGAAGCTTGCTTCAACTTCCGTTTTGGGTACCAGGAACCAGAAGCGTCGGGATAATGTTACATATTCTCCAGGTGACTTCGTGTTAATGCACAGGGATTCGCAGATGCATATCAGCAAGAGCGATTACGAGTTTTTGAGACCGTATGAAGTTTTGCAGTGTCTACAAAATGGACGGCATGAAATTAAGAAGGTTAGTACAAATGTGATAACCAAGGCTGCAAAGGAGCAACTTAGAGCATGGCCGCTCAATGGACTCAATCTTGTGATATGCAAGAAATTCTGGAATTCATGGAAAAAAATGATGAAAATTACTCCAATGAAGGTCAGTTGACTTGGGTTTTTTTTCTTGGTCTTTGTCTCATAAGCAGCAAAGCCAGGTGTAAGGGATGGTGGTGCGTTTTTACAGGGCTTGCTGATGAGTCAGGCAAAAGGAATTTATGATGGAATCACATTTAAAATTAAGAAATGCGTCGTTATACTGAAATTCTCTGTGTTCGGGTTAACATGCCGCTTTCATTTTCTTGGTATTTGTTCAATTGAAATTATATTAAGCTCTATTTGATTGTATGTGTGCCGAGTATTTTTTCTGTTATAATCAGTTGATATTTTTTCAACTCGACGTCAAAAATGAAAGGTTTTATTCAAAGCAACACCATGAGCATATTCGATTAGGATCAAATTTCCTGTTTAATTGAAACTCAAAAGCCTGCAAATGGAAAATTTTACCCCTCCGAGATGTGCGAACGGTTTTGTTTTTGAAGTTCTTTTGAGGGTTAATATTTTTGGCATTCTCTTTTAATTGCCAGTCAACTACTTTTCGTACCTGGGTATGAGAATAGAACATCGAAAAATTGGAAACAATCACTGGAACTGGTAGAGCAATAGTGAGCACTCCTGCTAGGGCACACAAAGCTCCGACAAACATTCCCGCATACGTTTTCGGAGCCATGTCACCGTAACCTACGGTGGTCATTGTCACTATGGCCCACCAAAGACCTTCTGGTATACTTTTGAAACTATTATCTTTGTTGTCCTGAAAATAAAAAAACAACGATTTATTTTAAAAATATAAAAAGCAGCCTGTCGCATATAAATTCAGGAAACTTTTCATCTGAAGTTTTTTCAGGCGAAAACTTTTACACAAAGTATTATTCAATATTATGGCACATAAAATACAAACTTTAATACTTATGGAGCAAAGTTTTTATTTTTTATCGTGAAAAAGTTCTTACCTGTAGCTTCTCAGCATAATACACAAGACTGGCAAAGACAACGATTCCCAAAACAAGGAAAAATACTAGGAGGGCCAATTCCTTTGCGGACGCCTTGAATGTGTGAATGAGTATTTTCAATCCTGGCGAATGCCTGAAATATTAAAACTTCATCAAGGAAAATATTAGCATAAACATCTCTATGACCCTAGCCAGCTTCACTTGTTAGGCTATGATTAATGATTACTTTTCTATGATTTGGGATTAATTATTTAGACCCTTGTCGTGCAGATCAAGTCCGAAACTATTTATTAATAGCTTTATTTATTACTGCGGTTTTAGGATGTCTTTCCTCAATAATACTATGTTAAAATTACAGAGTTTGCGTTGCAAAAAAGATATCGAACAATTAAATTTTGTAAATTTTTGTTTAGTACCTATTCCGGTAGGTTAGGTATCTCTGATAGTTAGTTCTTCCTTATAGCCCAAATTTATTTTTCAATAACAATTTAGATTGAGGAGGGTCGTCTTAAATTGGGTGGTATTATCGCCGTATGACCTAAAGTGAAACTCATTCATATATACTGTTACGAATAATGAGTGTAGGTATTCGCGACTGGACTGGCCAGTTATAAATAGAAGGTATTTTCTGAGGTATCAGTTACGAATAATGACAGGTTACGCGAAAGCTCTTCCATTTGCCTTTGAAAACCTACGCTTCCTGGACAATTTTTTGAAATATTTTTTTCCAAAATCTCCATAACAAAATAAATAGTAGTTGATGATTCTTTGATTTTAGAAAACAAAAATATACCTAAAAAAAATCTTATGTAAATCCGGTCCCAGTAAAAACGGCTGAATTTTTTATATGTTGTAGTTTATGACCTGCTGATTAATTGCTCTCAAGGCCGCAAAAAAATTTATCGAGCCGTTTTCGAGATATGAGCTATCAAAGTTGGGATTTAATGATATTATTGTAAATGGAAAATAAATGTCAAAAACTATTTCTATGTATTTTGTAACGTACTTTTTCGCCAATATTGAACAAAAAACAATTTAAAATCGATATCCCAATTCCTATGCTCTTTCATAACAATCATAACAAAAAAAAACTCAATCTACAGTGTGCCTTGAAAGTGATAAAAAATTATATATTTTTTCCATTGTTTGAGAAACTGACTAGGCGTATTTTTACTATTTTTGATGTCAAAATATTTTTTTTTTCTACATAAAATATCAGCCAAAAAACGCTATGTTACCAAGATACAGGGTGCTAAAAAATATTACATCGTTTTTTTTTTATACACGTATCGATTTAGTATTTAATTATTCGACAAAATTATGACTTAAAAGAAAGATTCAGACCATTATTTTGATAGCGTAGCGATAGCGATTGGGTATCTTAAACATAGGCAGGTGCCAATCTCAACTGATAAGTATACCTAATGTCAAATCTCTTAAGAAATTCATATCTAGCCTAGGAAAATTTGGAATGTGTTCCTCGGTTAGCCTTGACCACCTTCCATGTCTCCTGTCCAAATTGTTGTTTAATACTATTTCCTTTATTCCTTTAATCCATTTACTAGTCGAGATCTCTCTAGAATCCTGTTGGCCATTTCGACGTTCGCTTCATTAACATTGATTATGTCGCAATACTTGTTTATAATTACTCCGCAAACTCTATAGAAGTCTTTTAAATTGTTAATGTGGGGCATTATAATTGTCTCAGAACAAAAATTGAATTTTAATTTGCCAGTTTCTAGCTTCCACGATCCAACGTGTTTTTGTTACCAAGCGCGATTCATTGGCGTTCTCCGTAGAGAGTTGTTGTTGTCCAGGCCTAACACTGCAGGACATTCTGTGTTCTAAGCCCAGTGCGTCAATCATGCCAATAGCATCACGATATCCTCTGTCTACAATAAAAATATCTCTCTCTTGGAACCAGCGTCTAATCCCATTCATATAATTTTGAATCTCTGAAGACATTAGAGATGCATCATGATTACCATGGTCAGAAAACTATGGGCCATGTATATCTGAAATGTATCCATTGGTGACGACAATTAAAATTGGCTTTACCAAATGTTTGCCTTTGTGAAAACAAAAAGATTGTCTTAGGACCTTTTTTGTATTGAACTGTCCGTTTCGTCAATATAAACTATTGCTTTTCTGTCTTCTGGATCCGGGTTATATAACTGATTTGCAAAATCGGTAATATGGCGGTTGGTAAACTGTTGCCGTGTAATAGAGTTAGTTCCTATATTTTCAAATACAAACTTTCCATCAAGAATTCGCGAACTGTGCTCATTGCTAAACTTCCTGCTTGTTTAGTGCTATAATTGAAAATAGCTTTTAGGAAGTCGTCCGAAATACCTTGCTTCATTTTGCATAAAAATGTTAATAGGTGCTTTTGCGAAATATTTCTATTCCCAATATTTACAGGATTGCAGTAGTTAAAGAGATCTCGAAATTGATTCCTATCGATAGGAGACAAAGATGCAAATTCCTCAGTAGTAAAACCAAAAACGTCAATAAATTCCCATTTTTTGGTGTTGTACCTTTTTCTGAGCCCCTGCAAAAATGCGCTGAGCTGTGAACCTTTAATAACGTATGGTCTGTTGACATACTCTAATCCTCGAAGAAGAGGCCTGAGAATAATTCCGTTTTCATCTAGATGATGAATGCATGACCTGACATTTTCGGATATATAGATATTTTCGGTAACAAAAACTTCTACTCGACACTCTATACTTAATCGCTGTAGATTTTCGATATCACTACAAATTAAAAAAGTGCTATTGGTAGTCTGCTTTAGCACGTTTAACCTCAAACAAGTTGGATCGTCTTCAATAAGCTGAATTTCGTTAACAATAGAATTGTAACAATTTATGCATAACCTGGTCGGTTCCGATACTTGTATGAGGTACCTTCCAGTAGCTTCTCGTCTAGTCAGGGCTATTTGACGTTTGACAGCATTGTTTTCACCACCAATTCTTTTCATGGTTTTTTACTCGGCCTTCTGTATTGCACAGAAAGCACATCATATGAATTCTCTCTCCAAAACGGTTCATTATTATAATTATTTGGCACACTATCTAAAACTAATAACATAACATATTGAGTCCAAAGGAAAAAGCCACACGCGTCATCGATTGGTCATCGGTCTGTCTCATTAACATATTCCTAGTCGTTTCGCAGAGTGAGACAGAAGATGACTAGGCGATGGCTTTTTCTTAGTTGGATTGAGTTTCACTTACTAAATAAAAAAGATCCAAAAATTCAATAGAACTTTTAAACCCGACTCTCACTCACAGATTTTGCAATTCTTGCAATCACCGGAGTCATTGGAAATGAATGAAATGATAACACCATTATATGGAACCTATTTAACACATAATATATATTTATCTACGTCAGTGAGTGAGATACACAACTCGTGCTAAGCATTCGTTGTGCAACTTTCAGACTAATTCACACGCGTCTCTTAAGTATCCGGTTAACTCACTTGTATCTTAAATATCTAGTATTTTATTGAAATCCCCATCCAATAGAACAAACGCTAAACGCTATGATTTTTGTCCCATTATATAACGCACTGCGCCCACTGCGACACGCTTCGCCTTGTACTTCTAATTCCACCGCACGCCCCTGGCGACACCGCCGTCTTTTGACCTTGAACAAAAACTTCGAATGATCCCCATATACGCAGGAACATGAACATTTCCCAATGATAAAAAATGATGTAATTTCTTTTTTTAAATTTTTTTAATTCAAATTCTTTTAGCACCCTTTATTTTGGTAACAAATCGTGTGGCTCATATTTAAAAAAAAAAAAAACTTATTGTGACCTCAAAAATACACCTCAAAAATACGCCTGGTCAGTTTTTTAAACTTTGAAAAAAGAATATAGGTATGTATTTATTTTTCTGTCACTTTCTTCCGAGAGACACTGTAGATTCCTTTTTTTTGTTTGTTATGGAACAGCAAAGTGTTAGAATATCGATGTTATATTGTGTTTTGCTTAATATTGGTGAAAAAGTACGTTACAAATTATGGAAAAATGGTTTTTGACATTTATTTGCCATTTACTATAATATCATTAAATCCCAACTTTGATAGCTCATATCTCGAAAACGGCTCGATAAATTTTTTTGCGGCCTTGAGAGCAATTGATCAGCAGGTCATAAACTACAACATATAAAAAATTCAGCCGTTTTTACTGGGACCGGATTTACATAAGATTTGTGCGGGGTCCTTTGTACTTATTTTGAACGCTATAATTTACCGCCCGGAAATTACGTCATAGCTGTTGTGTCCAATAGCGTCATGACATTCTGACATTAATAAGAGTGACGAGAGCGCGGTCTGCGCGTCCTTATATTTTACATGTTTTTAGAAAAAGATGCAGATAAACTCGGACCGCTCTGATTGACAAATGGGAATCTCTCAAAAAGTGGGGTTGAGTTAAGGGTGCGCCTAGATGTAATGATACCCGACAGACGCTGATATATCTCTCTCTTTTGCACTAATGAATAGGTTTGTATCGAATGTCGGAATTATGTTGAATTTAATTCATACTCCAATACAGCAGCTATGACGTAAAATCAAGGCGCGAAATATTTCCGTTTAAATAGTGTGTCCCAAAACTCCACACTCTATTTTTTCCCAAGATAGATTTTGACATTGTCAACTTTGAAACATAAACAATATTGCGTGGCTCTGATTGGTCGCAAAATGCCGTGTCCTTGCAGGTGAGGTATCCTTTTACATGGGTTGGAAAACGATACCTTCGTCGAATGCAGGTACACGGCATCTTGCGACCAATAAGCGGCATTGTTTATGCTTCAAAGTTGTCATTGTCAAAATCTATCTTGGGAAAAAATAGACTTGTAGTTTTACAACCGTTTTAAAAAAAGTTAGTAATTTTTTCTGAAATTTCATTAGATACGAATATTTTTTATTTACTTCATAGACAAAGAATGGGTCATCGATTTCATTGAAATTATACCTTGTCCACTACCCTATTTTAGAAAATTCTTCTCGGATATATTAAGCGGCTGTTTGTGATTAGGTGAAGTTAATGAAAAGTAAAGAAGTTATGGTGAGCTGGATTTAAAAATATAAGTATTCGTGGAAAAGTGTTATTGAAACATT